CTGAATTGGTAGTTGTATTAGAGGTCTGAGAGTGCGACCGCAGAGCCCAAGGAACAACTATTTGAGGCCGGTAGCGCACAGTCCTCTTATGGGAAGTTCTTGATGTGTACGCTTCTCGCTACCTTGCCATCGGAGCTTAATTTACTGCTTTTAGACTTTCCATTCTCCAACCGACCTGCCTGGCATGAAAGGACCTATAGGAACATGTGTTCCAGTCAGTACAGCCCAGTCGATTCATTACGATACGGAAGCCCTATCACCACGTCAAGGTGGCAGCTAAGGTCGGGACACTATTAAGTATGGTTCCTGTATCCGTTGTAGATACACTCGGCATAAAAATTTCTTCAAAATCACTTATCGAATGATCAATATTTGCTACATTCAACAAACCATTGAATATGTAATGTCGATTAATATGTCAAGCTCACATAGCTTATTCTATCCTCTGAACAGATCAATCTATTCAATCATCTCAAGCCATATTTTTTATCGTGTCATTTATTCGCTTATCGACCTTGACTGCTTTTATGTAAGGGTATGTGTATACATTTCCTATCTTACTTATCACATGTCTGTAACTTATTTTTGTCTGACTATAAATATCGATTCACGCTTGGTTAAATCGAGTTGGCTCACTCGCCTTCACCATTGCGTGTTATTTCGTTTTGCTTCGCTTTCCGATCAACGATTGTACGGAATATACGAATTCGGAATCCGTTCACGTACTTGACTTATTTAATTTCATTATTTATCAACGTGATTTAAGTCGATGATAAGCATATTCGAGGGTTGATGACATGGATATTTCAATAATAAGCAGCAAACAATCTACCTGGAGTCAAATCTTCGGGCTATTAAAAATGTTTTGTCCTTGTTTAATGGAATAATGGATTGGTCCATTATTAAATTAAATTATCTAATCTAATCTTTACTTTTAGACTTTATTCCTTCCCTATCTGACTTTCTTCAGATTAACGCTATGCTACATAGTTATCAGTTGTGTCAATTACATTTTACAACATGTAGGTTTTGGAGTGTTGAACAAAATACATTAATCTCAAATTCCTTTATCCCCTTGTCTCAGTATTTGATTCTTTTTAAATATTATAGCTTAATCATTTTGTGCATGATAATCATAGAAACTCTGTGAATTTGGACAGCTTGGCTCGGGATAATACTTGTTTCATTTTTCCCACCTGTAGATAATCTCACTCCAGTTGACACGACTGAGTAAACATTCCTAATATCGGTTAATAGTAAGTTATTTATCAGTGTGGATATCTCAGTCACAAAGAAAACCAGTTACAGTTGCAATAGTTAACTTCACCGATTGCGAAAGAGAATAAGTCAGGTTTGAAACCAATAAGGAGCATCAGTTTCATCAAGATCATGGGTACCCCTAACTAATAAGTGCTAACCAGTATGAAATTTAAATCTATCTGTTTCTGCAGATTTCTTCCAACCATTTGTTATCAACCAAAGTCCCCAACAATGTTTTGCCATTTAAATCAGTAGCTAAATAGTAACATGGTCAGTAAAATTTGATTAGTATTGATAACAATACAATGTAAAATTGATTACTACTCAATTGCCAGTTACCCCGCACAATATTCACTGATTTTAAGGTTGTGTAGAGTCGAAAGGTTTAATTTGCTTGATAGTTTCATAACTGTAGTTCATATTTCTTCTCCCCTTCAGTTAACTATAGCTGCAGATTATTTATAGTTTATTAGATTTATTGTCAATTACTTCTTTTAATCAACTTAAATTGATTTAGAATAGATTCTTTGCAATCGTTTAAATTATCTCGCTGTTGTTATTAAGAGATATGGCTGATCTGTCTCTGTTGGCACATGTGCAAATTTAATAAACTGTCTCTATGCGCTCTTTAGTTATAAGTTTCAAGTCATAGTGAAATAGGAGATGGAAGTGTATTCAGCTGAAGAGTCCAAAACACTATGAAAAGCGTGCACTGAATCCCATCGCTAGTCATAGTGAAAAAATATTAAGATAGATTAATTGACAATTTTTCATGAAATAAGATTTTCGCAATATATAAATAAAAGAGTAAAAGTTCACTTGCATTGCCCATTACTAAACACTATTCAGGTAGATTACATTATAAATCAGGGTTCCGTTTCAATAGTATAACGCGTATTCACAACTGATGATGTTTAATTTAATCAAAATAAACAGATTCTATATCCAACCTTCTAAAAATATGTTATCATTATTCTTCACTAAGGTGGTTTGTAGACATTTTGTTTGACAATGAAAACAATTTTCATCGAATACTAATATTATCTGAAGAATCGAAATTGGACAGCTGTTTAAGTACGGTTCCTTAATGATTCTTTGAAAAATTTCATTTAACAGTTTTAAACAAGACCTAACCTCTATAGTCTTCGAATATTTAGTAAACAGGATTATTTTACAATCCTAAGTTGTGTAGTGCTGATTCTTAAATATTGTCAAATTAGAACAGAATCAGTTGTTCAATTTCCTACTATTTTTCGACAATTCTCCGGTTGATGTTAATTCATGATTCACAAAAATAACTCGCGAGGCGGGATCGTGGATACACACTGCAGAGGAGTCCCACAATAGGACGAAAAGACAGTCCAGTGTTTCCAGGTTCTCCATGGTGGTCTAGCTTCCATTCACTCATGATCTCAACTAATAAAATTACTATAATACCCACAAAACTCCTTCTCATACTAATCAACATATGCTCACTAGTGACTGGCTTCAAGAGCTATCTCCTGGAGTTCTAGTGAGAAACAGTGACCAGTGGAGTTCAACCGGGTCTATTGTGAGATATTAAATGACTGTTGACAATGGTGGATGTATCGCTCAATTTCGTGGATTAGTTGAAGTTAGACGTTAGCGCGCGAGACTGATAGGTGCTGGGTTCGAATTTCGCGAGGTGGGATAGTGAACGCGCACTATTGAGGAGTTCCACAATGGGACGAAACGACCATCCAGGTTTTCTTTGGTTGTCTAGCTTCAATTGAATCATGATCTTAACCATTGAAATTACTATAAAATCCACTAACCCCTTCTGAAATATCTCCAAATTAAATATCCTTAAATTTCATTAACAATAAGGTCCCTTTTGATTTCTTCGTATATAAAATAATTTGAGGATAAAATCACCCTCTCAGAAATATAATTATACCATAAACTATCTGTAAGCATACAGTGAGCAATACTTCGATAAAAATCAATGAAACTTTGATGAGACATTTTATAAATATTCTCTATTAGATAGTATGTTTATGGGAAATGGGATGATAGTACCAGCTTATTAAAATACTTTCTGATGAAAGCATTTTAACTAGGTGAAAATGGAATTTGAAGTCCAATATATAAAGGAAACTTTTCTGTGAACATGTTCAAAATTTAATTAGATGTCTACCGACAACTCAACAATCTATCCATAGATATAAGATAGTTAGAGGTGAATAATGTGCAGCTCAAGATCTTACATCCGGGATACCAAGGCCAATCTGTTATCTTGGAGAAATTGATGCTTTTTGTGAAACTTATTTTACCATGTATCAGCGACTGATATTGCGTTGCTGGAGCCACAGGTTACCTTCTATAAGATTGAGATTTTTACTCTGATAGATTATTAGCAAAACTGAAGAAAACTGGTACTTGCTACAGGAAACAGAAATTTTTAAGGTCCAAAGGGGGAAGTACAGTGTATAAAAGACGATTTATTATGCGCCGAAAATAGGACATCAGCGTCGGAATGCACTGAATTCTGTGCTTTGCTTATACTGATCTATATTCATACTTGAATACATTCAATCGGGCAATAAATGAATATTAATTATCCAGTAACTTAATGTATGCAAACGATTTTGGATGTTCATAGATAAAACTCCTTTAATTCATAAATTAATTAATTTACGGAGTTAGGTGGTTTGCTACTTTCTAACAATCACTTAAGTATCAACCTATATCAAATCTGAACCTTTAAGCTTGTTGTATTCTATCAACTTGATGTCACAGTCACCTTCGCTTAATCCTAATTATCTAGAAGCAATAGAAACTGATCTCTACAGTCTAATAGTCATCACTATGCTAAATGGTTACGGTGTGACAGTTTAGGTTGTCAAATTTCAACCTCTGGATAAGGAGTTCAACCCCGATAGATACATATACTGATAATCCTTATAATTCCGATTCTTCAGTTACAAACACTTATTATCAAATATTATATTATATTCCCAAATGAATACGGTTGTAAGCATTTGATGGAAACACACGAAATAAAAACGAAATCATATTATTCTGCGTCAGTTTTTTTGCATTATTCGAATTTATAAAGGGAAAAACTTATTGTATGAAATCGCATTACAATATTAACTTTACCAAAAAAAGAATTTGAAATAAAGTAAAATCATCAGCATATCATATTTCATCTTTGATTATGGGAGAGAACAAACCAGATTCCAGCACAGGAAGAATTGCTGGAAGTGGATAGGACAGGCGTAAGTTTGGAAATGAAAGTTTACCTAATCAACATAAAAGTCTGAAAAACGAAACAATAGAAGAATGAAAAAAGGAAAAAATCCGTTAAAACAGAACAGATCAATGAAGACTAACGACTGATCATATAAATATGTTCACAAAAAACCTTCAAATTAGTTAACGAATAAAACGGTTAAGTCCATTAATAATTTTCAGTGAAGAAACTATTCTTTCACCTATGAAAATGTTAGACTAAACAATTTTGAGAGGCTTCTTATTACTACTTACACGATGTTACAGTGCTTCACCATGTAGTTCATAATATTTCATTGTGATAATAATATTATTATTACTATTATTATCGCGTGCATGGATTTTAATATATTTATGTCTCATCCTACCAGAAGATATCGAAGAAGAAAGATATGAATGAAGGGGATGGTTGGTATCTGATAACACCTGCCAGGAGTTTACAAGACTTTAGATGTCCATCCAAAACCATATTACTAATGACTTCAAAAGATCCACCACACACCTTCCTAACTACCTTCAGCACTCTCTGTAGCACATCAAAGTATTTTTCTCAGAAGCCCGGGAAAGAATAATGGAGAACAGTAAAGAATAATAGGTAATATGCAGGAATCGACTAAATGTAAGAGTAAACGTTGAGTAGTCCCAGTATAATTACGAAGTAGAGATTTGCTGATCCAGATACACATACAATAGTCCCGCACTCGACCCATGTTAAATGAAAGATTATATTGTAAATCCCACAAGCAGCTTGAAAATCTCAAAAAAATCATTTACATTCGTATTTAGATCCGGTCATGAATCAACACACTTGATCAAAGGTATCACCTAAAAGTAAACCCGAAAACAACCAAAGTATATTAAGTGAACCCCTAAATAGCATTGTGTAATTAGCAGATTAGTACATTTTTCATGGTCACACCTACGGAGTTCAGGAGATTCTTCAAGGCGACCACGACTAACAGAATTATATTGGCAGTTTTAGCTCACGTCATAACTACAGAAGGGTTGAGTGATAAAAAGGCGAGTTAGAAAATATTGTATCCAGAATTGCACCTGGAACAAAATTAAACAATCATAGGTTTTAGACTTGATAGAAAGGAATTTCAACCCAGTTCTGTTTTTTAAGAAAATCGCTAGATTTTGTCTTTTTTATATGAATAATTAGGGATTTCTAAACTGCTCAAGGACTTATCCTCGTTCACATGATCGACTACAAAGTTTTTATCAGCATAAGAAAAGCAGATATGAACAATTTGATACGTTTGGCAAGTTATCTCGACAATGAAAGACACTGGTACAAGTCTGATATGTTAACAGTCGATCCTTACCTTTACAGATGAGAGTCCGTATTTTTACCCCAGAATCTGGAATATAATCTGATTCGTAAACTCTAGGCACAATCTGAAATATACTAGGTTTTTATATCCAAAGACCAGATTCGTGTGTCAAGTTTTTGAGGGATTTGGGATTTCTAAGACTCATAAGGCCGAAACAAACCTACAATGAATCAATAAAGCTTTTGAAGCTTAGTTTCTTATCAATCAGTGAACAGTAATCGATGTTATAACGTATTCTTTAGGGTCGATAATATTTTATAATCTAGGATTTGAAGCGTAACCGGTAAATTGATAATTTATATATTACCGTACTTCATCTACGTTTCGGGCGAATGAACACAATTAACTGTAGTTAATTGGTCAGGGCTTTATGCATGTGTTAATGAGATTTGCCTGTAAAGCCAAGAAAGTGCATAGTCTTGCGAAACAATTAGAAAGTATTCAGCAACCACACTTCGAGACTTCGTCAACCTTGAGCTGTCTGTACAAAAATTGCTTTCAACAACCGAGCCAATTTTGTGTAATTGGTTCCCTTTATTCCAACCCAACTAATAGTTTGAAAAAACATAACCCAAAAACACTAACAAGGAATATCGATTATGAAGCAAATTACATACCCAAGACATAAAATTGTATTTGCTCCTTGGTACGGCCGAGGGTGAAGAGGGTCCTCTCCCCTTCTCAAAATGCTCTCACATGGCCACATTTATACAGCCATTGCCAGAGAGGTCCTACTCACTGCCTTTTCATGGCGGGGGTGTTGTTTACAAAATTGAGAGGACGAAAAGCGAACGTTCGGCACTTTAATCAAGTTGGTGGGAACAGAGGGTCCATGTGGAGGAGTTGGAAAACCCTGATCTCAAGCCGATGGTACACATGATCTCCAGTATCCTGAAAGGACAAATGGCGTATGAACCAATTGTTGATCATCGACCGCCATGGGACTGCATCTCCTAATGTTGCTGCACTGTCTTGTGGATCAGACCTTTAGGGCAACGGTTCTGGGTGTGGCCCTCTAAGAAAACCATCTGCTTCGGTTTGGATGCCCTAGCAGTATTACAGCCCTCACATAGATCAATGATAACCGCTACTGGCCTCATTGTTATTGTGTGGCGCATATGTATTTGGTGCCCTCCTTGGTTGATGCGTTCAAATAAATGATAAGTTTAGAACATTTAGTAATCACTCATATATTTTGACAAAAATAAAATCACAGTTTCAACATCAATAACTATACATGTGACTAAAGAAATCGGAGAATAAACCAGCACATGAGGAAAATGATGCACACGAATACAATTACATAACAGCATAATCCAGAGGATAAATTCTGTTTAGCCATTCGAGATAATCGAGACATTGTAGAGCGAAGAACACCTTCGGACCGATCAAAAGCTCCGGCCATATCTCCGAGTAAGCTATTTTGAGATCGTAATTCATCTCCTATTTTTATCGAAAGACTACGAAGTCCATCGACTTTCTCTCTGAGTTCAAGGTTGAGACGGTCATGATCATCATGTACAGGACTTGGCCAGTATTCTAAAGTGCTACTAGCTAAATTTGCAGATGCATCAATCCTCGCATGATTCGGCTGAGAATGAACATATTTATCGCGAGAAGTCATGAAATTACAGGAATTTGAATGTAATTGCTATGTGCACCTCAGATCCATTTATTGCACCGCACAAAACAGTTGTCAAGATACCTATAAAATCAAGAGATAAACCAGTTTTTTGTTAATGAAGTGGTAATAAACGTTTATAAACAAACAGTGTACGCAGACCAAAATATGTAAAAAAAACCCAGTTTATTTGATAAGAATCCTTCCAATTATACTAACTAAGCAAAATGAAAGGATGAGAAGAATATACATATTTGCTAACGTTAAATTATGTGAAGAGACCATTAAATTGACTTCGAACCGAACTCCGGCTACCAATCAATCAGCCAATTTGACGTTTTAGATAAACAAAGAATAAAATAGGAGAGTCCTTGTGGTGCTGTCTGTTTCTTTCTCTTTTCAATGGCACACAATTTACGGTAGTTTTATTTACCAATCAATGTCATTTTTTGTTTAGTTGAAAACGTCTTTTCTTTCTCTAATTTCCTATTGCCATTATTGCAAGGTATTATCAACTAGGATCAATGAATTGTGCCCACTACCGACCAACTCAATCATAACATTATATCAAATGAATGATATATAAAGGTGTAGACTTTACATTACACATCATAACACAGATAAGAATATCATAGACAAGCAGTTCAGAAAATATATTTATTCGAATACATAAATATTGGCACAAAGGGGTACCAAATACATATGCGCCACAAAATAACAATAAGAATGTGAAGAAATAGAGAATATAAATGCGTATAAGAGAAAGGAGAACAGCAACGAACAGAAATTAGTGTATGACAGTGAAATAATAAAAATGGGAGAAGTAGTTCAGTTAGCAAACGTACAACCAGTTAAAGAGGTTATGTCCACTTTTATGAAGGAAATAAAAGTTACAGCGGGATAACCACTGGCTTCTATTCTGAGCCATATCTGATGTCTTAAGCCACTGGGCTGCACCATCTCACGGACCCCAACCAGGGAGTCGTGAGGGACCAACAAAAGCCAGCCTTTGCAGCTTTCTTCCATACCCCGACACCATGTCATACACTGACCACTTCTCTGCCTTTTCCAACCAGTCCCAGAGTTGGCAAATAATGCACGGCGTGGAATTCTCTGGGACGACATTCGGAGAACATGTCCAAGACACCGAAGTCGGTGTTTCAAGATGGTGACACCAATTGCATTATCGTCTCTGTGCCCGGACACACGATGCCGAACCTCTGCATTACTAACATCGTGTTCCCACTGGATGTGAGCCATCCTTCGGAGACAACGATGATCAAACACAGAGAGTCGTCTAACATCTTCAACTCGGAGGCCAGGTTTCATAAGCATAGAGCAGAACTGCTCTCACCGACGCGTTGTAGATCCGACCTTTTACAGCCAGACTGACATCACGAGGGTGCCAAAGATGGCTCAGATTGGTATAATCCGCTCGGGCTTTCACTATACGTGCATTGATCTCATCACTCACGCCACGATCAGCACTTATGTAGCTACCTAGATACACGAACTACTCGACTAGTTCTATCTGCTCACCATCCAGGGTGAGTACAGGATTAAGATCCTGCCAGTCTTGTAGAAGTACTTTGCACTTCGAAGGTGCAAAGCACATACCGTACCTACGTACATTGATTGCCAGGGCTGCCCACTCTCTCCATTCTTGTCCAACTTTGTGGTCGATGTACTTTTAGAGATAACACTTTCCTCGTCTAGATTTCCAGGGGTTGAACTTCTACCAGGAGGTTCACTTGTTGACTTAGAATATGCTGATGACAGTTTTATTTGGTGAAGACGCTGACAAAATGCAGGGTCTTCTGACCACTCTAAGCAACAATGCAAGCATGTTCGGGATGCGATTCTCCCCATCGAAATGAAAATGTTGCTTCAGGATTGGGTTGCATTGACACCCGAACTAATGATAGGGAGTGAAGTAATTGAGCGTGTCGATCGCTTCACCTATCTTGGAAGTTTCATCAGCCATTGTGGTCTGGTGTGTGACGAAATCTCAGCACGGATACAGAAGGCTCGACTAGCTTCTGCCAAATTGCGTCATTTATGGCGTAGGCGAGATATCTATCTACCAACCAAAAAAAGTGTTTACTGCTCAGCAGTTCGTTCTGTCCTACTTTATAGCAGTGAAACATGGCCGGTAAGAGTAGAGGATATTCGTAGGTTACTAGTATTCGATCATAGGTGTCTTCGAAACATTGCTCGTATATTCTGGGACCATCGAGTAAGTAACGCATTTGTTAGGAAACGGGTACTAGGTAAGGATGGCAAATCAATTGATGAAGTAGTGAAACTTCATCAGTTGAGATGACTGGGACACGTGTTACGTATGCCCAACCACCGACTGCCTCGATGTGGGATGTTCAGTGGTATAGGGATAGGTTGGAAGAAAGATAGGGGCGGCCAGACCAAAACATGAAACAAGTCCATGAAGTCACTGACAAGTGGTTTGAGTCATATCGGTAGATGTAGACTACCTGGTTGGGGACCGCGAAATGATAGCAACCGATGGTTAGAGACCTTGAATGACATGGCTCAAAATCGTTTGCAATGGCGCAGGTGCATACACTCTTTGTGTTCTCCCAAATTTTGATCTCCTTATTCCTCCTTGTCTCTTTTTCTTTTCTCAAATTTATTTCACTGTATTATTCTCCTTGAATAACATCTCCAAACACTAATTTTCCTGATTACTGCTTATACTCTTGTTACCTCTACCACTACGGGATTTGAATCGACCACTGCATCTCTGTGTTAATGTGGTGTGGCAACTCGAACTGATGTACGTACGTACGAAGTTCTACGTTGTTACTGACTGAAGTGCGGATTGCATGACTTGGGCATTATCACACAGTGAGACAATATCATCCTCATACTTAATGTCGAGAAGTCTTTCTACAGGCAACAGATCCACACCATTCCAGGTAGTTACCAGATGCAGCTGCTGCTCCCATCTCATTAGCACTCTCCGACCACCAGGCTTCTCGGTCCTTAGGCAAGCTTTGCCCGACTTCATCACGTTACAGTCCTCATTTCTGGTCAAACTCACGGTCACCTGGAGTAGATCGACGGGCTTCGATGAGTTGTAAGGAGCCTGAAGAAACCCAGTGTTTATAAGCGGGACGTTTCGCGAAGCCGCGAGCGGCTTTACTCGCCATTTTCATGGCGTCATGAATTTGCAACCAATGCTCATCTATACTTTTCGGTGGAATGGTAACTAGCCTAGAAGCTAGCTCGGTTCGATACTTACTTGCAACAGAAGTTGCAACCAATTCGCTGACATCAATCCTTTGGTGACGATCACTTCATTCGCCACTGAAAAGTAAAGTAAGATTGGCGCAGACCAGGGCATGATCAGAATTCAGATAGGTACTTCAAAAGGAGCGGCAGTCTTGCGCATAACCACGCCAGCGGTAGCTGATCGCGGTGTGATCAATCTGAGTCCAGGCTTGAGATGCAGAGGGAGGACACCAGGTGGCACATCGGCGATGACTGTGCCGAAAGCTAGTGCTAGCCAGAAACAGGTTGTTGTCTGTGCTTAGTTGCAGCAGACGGTCCCCGTTATCTGTCTTGCGACCAACAAGTCCTCATCGGCCATTTAAACGATTCTCATCTGTGCCTAGACGCCCGACCAGAGCGTTCAAGTCTCCGGCTAGTACTACAATATCTGTCGAACGCACTTTCTGGGGAAGAACAGATAACTGGTGGTAGAATTCATCCTTGATTGCATCCGGGCTGCAATCTGTCGGGCATAGGCGAAAATGACGAAAAGACATCGTTTCTCATGCCGGTTTCTTCTCACTTGGATAGAACTTTCTAATCTAACAGCACATAACCGACCGTTAATGGGGATCCAACCGATTAGTGCTGCCTCAGCTCTAGCGTTTAGTGCGACATCAACACCAGCAAGACCAGACGACGCCACAGGGTCCCCGGATAAACGCACGTAAAAAAAGCGTTTTGAAGCGACAGATGGAGAGCAAAATTGTAGTACTTCACCAGTCTTGAATAGACAACAAACGTTGATATTACGACTTTCCAAAGACATAGCCAGCCCTATATGTCGTCCGATCGGCATTAGTGTGCGAACGTTGAAGGCAGCCAGTTTGAATGGTGCACGTGTTTTCAGAAAAACTGTTTCAGTATTCGTATTCGGTGTTAGCATTCAATTTTCGACCAATCAGTGACTCGAGATCGTTTAGATAGAAAATAGTTATAACCATGGGCGAGCTGCTGTGCAAGTTGAAAAATAAGGATACACAAAGTGAGAATAAAAGAGTGAATAGAATTTTCAGTAAATATCGTCATTTTCATTTTATTTGTGTGTGGGCTGGGATACTGCCCGGGTGATTTTCTTAGGAGGCCACACCCCGAGCCTTTGACCTGAAGGTCTGACCCAGAAGACAGTGGAGCATTGTGAGGAGATGCAGTCCCATGGTAGCCGGTGACTAACAATTGGTTCATATGCCATTTGTTCCCTCAGGATACTGAAGCCCATGTGCACCATTGGTTTGGGATTCGGTTAAATCGCCGGACATTCGCTTTTCGTCCTCTCAATTTCGTAAACAACACCGCCGCCACGAGTAGGACTTCCCTGGCAGAGGCTGTATACGCGTAGCCGTGTGAGAGCATTTCGAGAAGGACAAGCCCTCCCCGCTCTTGGCCATACCAGGGCATTTGGGGGCCATAGGTGACGTAAGTTGTCAAAAACCAGACGAGCTTTTTAAATCCGCGCAGAGATTTCGTCGGACATCAACCCATTAGTGCTAATCAGACTTCAAAGATAAGTGAAGCTGTCAACGCGTTCGACTAATTCACTCCTTATCCTTAGTTCAGGTGTTGACGCAGGCCAGTCCTGAAGCAACATCTTGCATTTTGAGGGGGAGGATCGCATCCCAAACATCCTGGCATTGTTTCTCAGTGCTACCAAAAGACTGCATTTATTCAGCGTCTTCACTAAATAGGACTATACCACCTGCGTATTCTAAGTCGATAAGTGGACCTCATGCAAAGAGATTAATTCCTGAAATTTCAGTTGACGAGAATGTTCTTTCCAGCAATAGGTCTATGATGAAATTAAACGGAAGTGGGGGAAGTGGACAGCCTTGTCGGACACTACTTGAGGTTGCGAAATCATATGATAGTTTGCCATAAGCTCTGACTCGATTAGTAGTGTTCGAGTAAAAAGCCTTCATAAAGTTTATGCACTTTCGAGGTACACCTTTCAATGACAAACACTGACACAGAACCTCTTGATCTACAGAGTCAAATGCTGTTTTTAAGCCAAGAAAGACCACCATTATCGGACGCCAATAAGCATGCCTGTGTTCTAGAATCTGACGAATAATGAAAATGTGGTCGATCCAGCCACGATCAGGTCTGAAGCCAACCTGATTTTCTCGTGTCTGCAGGTCATGAGTCTTTGTTAGGTGTTAGCGGGACATAGACTGGATTAAAGCATGCTCAATGCATGATTGCTTTGGTGCACGCTGATTGGCTAATTCTTATCCAATCAGCACTAGTCGATAGTTGGAGAATACTCTGGAATCTTCTTATGTAAAAACTATAAATATACTGACGTTTTCCCTATTGTGCTTCTGGCTTGCATCTTGCTTCCATCTAACCTTGTTATTTGGAATATAATCTCTTTCCTGTTCAACCGTGTTCTGATTTGGGGTCTTGTCGAGTGAATCGGTGCCCAAGAATACTAAGCAATAGGAATAGCTGGGTCATAACCGTAAGAAAGAGAGTTATAACATTGGGCATCCGATACTTTTTGAGGCCAGAATTTTAGATGCTATATTAGTCAAACTAATCCCTCTATGGTTATCATAGGATGATTTCGACCCCCCTCTTATATATTAGGACAATCAGTGATTGTGACCAGTCAGATGGGATTACATTCAGTTCCCAGATTACAGCTAAAATATTAATCAACCTAATCGCTATAACTCGACTACTATACTTAAAGACCTCTGGAGCCAATCCATCTGCAACAGCTGCCCTTCCTCGTTTCAGATTAGCCATAACTTTTTGAGCTTCAATTAGAGCCGAGGCTACTTCAATGTTTCATTCAGGATGTTTGGGAGTGGTCGGTAGTTGTAGAGTAGCTGAAGGCTAGCTGAACTGCTCCTATAAAAGAGGACTCTCCCCACCCTCGGCCGTACCAGGGCAGTTGCGAGCAAAAATATGGAACGCTTTGCGATTTTGCGTATCATCCTTGCACAGAAGCCATGCTAATCTCCTCTGTATCGTTCCAATTTTAGTATACGTACTGCCGAAACTATTACATTGGATAAATTTATCTTGAAAATATTTGTTGTTAACGTATTTTATTTAGTCAGAAAATTCAGTCACAGGTTGTAGAAATTTCGATAACGTTTATTAACACTTAAATAATATCAACAGAATAACAGTATCATTAGGTGTTTCTGGACTAGGTCAACTGGAGAGTATTGATATTTTGAAGGGTTGCTTATTTATCCATTTTTCTGTGAGATGTGTACATAGACGCTCCAGTGTAGAAGAAATGATTAAGGAAGTCATTTGTGTTGCATCTTATGTGTGAGGCGACCTCACTAGCTAATGGCATAAGTTAATAATAAACGTACTTAGGCAGCTTATGAAATTCGTTGCTATAGTAATTGTCCCAAACCAATTACCTTCCCTAAACGTTTGATAGCCACTAGATATCACTTTTTGAAGGGATTAATAGCAGAAACGTTACATGAACAGCCAAAACAAACTGTTATAACAAATGCAACTAATACTAGGCGGAGAGGAGGCATGAAGGGCTTTTGTCAAACATCAATCATTATGTATAACACGCGGACAGTTCCACATATAGCACTGACTTGAGGTTTAGAAAGTAATTATTGCTGCCAAAAATTTTCATGATGTTTTCCAGTATCTGAGAGCCTTATATTTTATTGCACATAAAATTCGTTTTTTGGTAGTACTAATAGGGAATTATGAAAAACATTAACTACGAGTACCAACGTAAATTATCACTTATGTGACGTAATGAAGACTATGTTCCTTTTACCGGACAACGCATTTTCCATTAATGTTGTCCAGAATATACTGCGGTTAAGAGGGTAACTACGCTTCAAGAACGATTCCGACAGGTTTTACTGAACAAACGTCAGTGAGTTCTTCGGACAACAGAGAACAATCAAAACACTTACACTTCAGAAACTGGCTTTATAAAATATTTAGGTATTCCAACTTAATGGTTAGTTATTAGACAAACATACACTAAGATGGTTTGAAACAACATCCGTATCACATTATACTGGACAGGAATGCTCATATCAGTTGAATAAACCATACACGAGGGTGCGGAGTACAACTTTCTGATGTTGAACAAAAAGAATAACGATTATGTTTTTGATATCTGATTCACCTATGGTGCTTTCTTACTAATAAGCGTACTTACCGAGGAAAAAATGAGGGTTGCTACTTGTTGTAATATAATACCGAACCGTTGTATTTGTATACCCACCTGTTTGCATATCTACAACCAATATTAATTAGTAACAGGTACATCGAAAACTATTTTCTTAATCAAAACGAACCCGAACAAGCTAAATTTATTTTCACCGAATTTTAGTTTCATGATGATCAGAATAAGTAACATAACCTTGGCTAAGAAATAAGGCCCCATGTGGTCGCTAGATTTGATTAGAATGACATATGCCCCCAAATGCCCTAGTACGGCCGAGAGTGGGGAGAGTCCGCACTCCCTCTCGAAATGCTCTAACATGGCCACGCGTATATAGCCTCTGCCAGGGAAATCCTACTCACTGCCTTCTCGCGGTGGGGGTGGTGTTTGCGAAATTGAGAGGACGAAAAGCGAATGTATGGCGCTTTGACAGGGTTGCTGGACATGGAGTCCACCTAGGGGAGTTGGAAAACCACAATTCCAAACCAATGGTGCACATGGGCTCCGTTATCCTGAAGGAACAAATGGCGTATGAACCAATTGTTGGTCACCGGCCTCCATGGGACTGCATCTCCTTACGATGCTCCACTACCTTGTGGGTCAGACATTCAGGTCGAAGGCTCCGGGTCTGGTCGCCTAATAAAACCACCTGCTTCAGTTCGGGCACCCGGGCAGTATCACAGCCCTCACAAAGCAAATGGGATTTGTGTGGCGCATATGTATTTGGTGCCTCCTTGCACCAATATCTGTGTTAAAATAAATAAAAGAATGACATATACACACATAAATAACACTAAACACTTCACATCGAACAACTCAGACTGGCGATGTAAATTCAAAGTCAATATTTGGACGCTGTCAGAAAACATTTTGACGTGTGTTTATTCTCAACCTTACTTGTCTTTAAGAGTTTGGGTGGTTTCCATGAAAAATCTCGAACCTCAATGTTACTTTAATTTACTTAATTTTAATAGTCGACGTGGTTGAGACCGTTAAACTTTTCACGTAGTTTGGTCTATATCAAATTATTATTGTGATAGAGGTAGTTATTGAGAATATGTTGGCTAGGAATCAAAGACTAGATTCTTACTGCTTGAGGCTTATGTTAAAAGAGCTAGTGAAGGTCCTGGACAACTTGGTCAAACAACTTAGCACATAAAAACCGTTAGAAGCTTATTGTTGGTAACACACCAGGTAGTTAAATTGCATAAAATATAACCCTTGTGTAAAAGCTCCAGCCTTACCATACATTTAACAATCAATGAGTAAACTACTTGTCGCCGAACATAAGTTGACGAGTGGTCTAGCATCTTGACCAACGACAAGCATTCAACAATTATTAATAAACATAACAATTAAAACGGATAACTAATGTTTTGTTGACACTCCGAATTATATCCATTTAGAGCGCAAGAATGCTTCCCCTTCCTAATCTCCATATTTGGGGGAAAATGTCCGCTCTTGGGAAAACTTGGGGAAGCCGCAATATCGGACTTCATGAAGAGGGAACAAAAACCTCAAAATCCCCCGGGTCTGGGTAAATTCCTCAAATTTTTTGGATTTTCCCCGATATTTCCTCGAAATCTTGTAACAACAGGGTTTTCCTCAGAATTTCTCAAAAATAGGAAGATTGGGCCGAACGGCCGCCTAATAACAGTAAGTTTAGTACGAATCCAAACTAGACTCGGTTCCTTGAGATATTATTAAGTGACTAATAGTTCTTGATAAAGGTCTAATGTATACAACATTCGAAGTTAAACGCGTTATAACTCTCATTGTTTAGACAAAGACCTTATTTGACAACACGAGAAACGAAACATTTCCGCTCAACAGACTTTTAAGAACTTACCGCTGGTCCCAGAGTCAACAGTCTTATTATCAAGTTTAAGAGCACTTAGCATATCTAGAAAGTACCACAGACAGCACTTACGCGTCAGTCGTAACGCAACGACGTGAATGCCATACATCCAATATCCAATATCTTCATGACAAGCTTGCATAAACTATTTGATTACTTTGCTATCTCTTCTCGTAGTTTCGGTACGGTTTCAGGTCTGTGGCAATGTCAAATGTGCTATAATTCACCCACTCGACTGTGTTAGTTCTAGTCCTTTTCATTAGGCAGCTGCTTAATCAACTCATGCCTCAAAATATGACTGGGGTCACCTTGCTAAAGGTGTATAGACTAGGGAGTCTAACGGACTCGAAACCAAATCATTCCAGACTGCTTAAAGTAGTATTCGGCTCTTCAAACGAACGTGACCTAATTTTACAAAATGGACACAAATTAAAGGGTTCGGGAGTCTTTATCCGAAAGGACCTACCGTTGGCAGACCGTGTTAAAAGACGGGAAGCCGAGAAAGAACTACAACATAGGTTAGACGCTGGCGAAAAGGACCTGAAAATTGTAAATTTTCGGGTTGTAAGACTTCGACAGAGAATGATGCCGAAGCCACTCTGGGTGAAGCACGAAGGCACCTAAACAGGCTTCGGATCTGTTACACCAATGCACGAAGCTTACTTAATAAGCGATCGGAACTAGGTGTACAGATTGACTCTATAAAGCCAGATATAATCGCAGTAACAGAAACCTGGCTGACACAGGCTATAGATAGTATAGAACTTGATTTCGAGGGCTTTACGTTAGTAAGGGCCGACAGAACACAAAAGCGCAAAGGAGGGGGAGTAGCTCTATTCATTAGGAATGCTATCCCATTTACCATTATCGATAGTGTATCCCATGAGAGTGGGACATGCGAATTAGTTAGTCTTCGCTTAAAATGCAAGGGACAAGAGCTGCTGATTGGTTTGGTCTATCGCAGTCCAAGCTGTGAGGCAAATGAGATCCTGTTAAGCAGTCTCAATACTTGGTCCCAAAGTGGTCGATGTCTAACCCTAGGGGACTTTAATGCACCAATGGTAGACTGGGAAAATCTGCGGACTGAATCGTCAGAAAATTCCTTCGAGCAGGAACTAGTTGATGCGGTTATCACATGTGCCCTAGTGCAACATGTGAAAGAAGCGACTAAGTACGACCCGGACACTGAATCATCCTTATTAGATCTTATACTGACTCACTATGAGGATGATGTTGCGAACCTCCACCATATGCCACCCTTAGGTAAAAGTGACCACGCAGTTTTAACTTTCGACTTCCATATAACTGCCAGTCATGAGGACGCGTCAGTCCAGTCCAGACCCAACGTCTGGAAAGCAAACATACCAGACATCATGCACTCAGCATCGTTAATAGATTGGACAATAGACCCAGAGTCCTCCATTGAAACGGCCTGGGACACATTTCGAAAATCATACTTAAAAGTTACCACACCTCACATCCCTTGGACTATACCAAAGGGGCCGAAAAACTCACCACCATGGTTCAGTAGGGAGGTCCGTATCCTTCTCCGTAAGAAAAGGAAAACGTGGGATAGATTTAGGTTACTGGGGACTGATGAGTCAAAATCTCAGTATCGAAAGGCTCGGAACACTTGTGCCTCGACCCTCCGTAAGTCTAGAAAATTGTACGAAGAAAAACTTGTTAAGGAATCCATAGAATGTCCTAAACGCTTGTATTCCTATATAAACCAAAGGACAAGGAGAAAAGGAAATATTCCTGCTCTATGGGGAGACAGTACTGCTTCATCATTAGTGGAGGACGACTTTGGTAAGGCTCAAGCGTTCTCGAACTACTTTAGCAACGTGTATACCATAGAAGCGCCCTTCTCGTCAGCGTATACAGATCCCCCCATACATACACTGGATAGCGTGACCATTAAAGAACTCGATGTCTTTGGTCTGCTAAATAAGCTTGACATAGGTAAATCCACGGGGCCCGATGAATTACATCCTAGGCTACTGAAGGAATTATCTAACTTCGTTGCGAACCCTTTAAGTACATGCTTTAACCTATCCGTTACGCAGGGTCGCTTACCGAAAGATTGGAAAAACGCCATAGTAAGTCCTGTCTTCAAAACAGGCACGAAACACAAACCTGAGAACTACCGCCCCGTTAGCCTAACTAGTGTGGTTGTTAAAATATTAGAAAAGATTATTCGGAAGGAGCTGTTTAAGTATCTCGATAAAAACCGGATCCTCTCGGAGAAGCAGCATGGCTTCAGAATAGGTTATTCTTGTCTCACTAACTTATTAGTGGCTCGTGAAAGCTGGTGTGCTCTTAAGGACCAAAAGCTACCTGTAGACGTCGCCTTCATTGATTTCAGTAAAGCTTTTGATAAAGTTCCGCACAACCGGCTGTTATATAAGTTAAGAAATGTCGGAATTGGAGGTAATTTATTGATGTGGATAAAAGACTTCTTAGTTGGGCGTCAACAAAGAGTAAGGGTGAACTCAAAGTTATCTAGCTGGGAAACTGTGCTTAGTGGAGTGCCCCAGGGTACAGTTTTGGGGCCAGTGCTATTCCTCTTATATGTAAATGATCTTCCTTGTCTCCTATCATCATCGGTCTTGCTATATGCTGACGATGTCAAGATATGGAGAACGATACGATGTAAGAGTGATAGCTTAGAACTTCAAAATGACCTGAAGAAGTTATCTGAATGGTCTCAAACATGGCAGTTGCCGATAAATACTTCCAAGTGTGTTGTGATGCATATCGGTCATCAAGGCACAGATACATACACGATGAATAACACTGAGCTACCTGTCGTCCAGACATATAATGACTTAGGAGTTATCGTTAGTCAAGACTTAAAGACTACTGCACACTGCCGTGCAATAGCCGCCAAAAGTTTTAGAACGTTAAGGTCAATACGTAGGGCTTTTAGTCATGTCGACACTAAGACGTTTTTGACTTTGTATACAGTGTTCGTTCGTCCTAAACTTGAGTACTGCATACAAGCGGCTAGCCCCTGCTTTAAAAAAGACAGAGAGCTTCTGGAAAAGGTTCAGAGAATGGCGACTAAGCTGGTTCCCGCAATAGCGAAGCTTCCGTATGAATCTCGACTGGCCAAGCTGAACCTTTTCCCGTTGTCATATCGCAGAACTAGAGGCGACTTGATTACAGTCTACAAATTGCTTAGTGATAAATTTGCACCTGATATGCCCTCATTTTTCTTGTCTTCCAAAACAGAGAATTTACGAGGACACTCCAAAAAAGTTCATAAGCCGAGAACAAATTACTTGTCAGCTGACTATCGACTTTCCCATCGAATCATCAACGAGTGGAATTCACTACCTCAGCACGTGGTTGAGGCTCCATCCGTCGACTCTTTTAAAAGAAAGTTGGATCAACTGAGAGACCACCATTGCCAGGACTAACATAGGCCATCGAGCCTCCTGTCCTTCCCAAACTGAAACTGATAATAGTCATTTGTGAATTTGTACATCTCGTATTTCGAGTGTGTTTGTCTGAAGATAGTAAAGTTTCTGGATGCCGGCAGCCATCTCATTACCAGGAAGGGGGTCGTTTGGTTAGTTGCAACGTGAAAAATAATTGGGAAATAATTAGTATGTTAACAGATTATCGTCTCAAGAAGTGAATAAATCAGTGTTTATTAATTAGTAATTCAGAACGCTTGAGTAGTCTGGTGTAAGAATAAAAAGGCGACAGAGATGTTAAGAAGCAGGATAGGAATAAGTCGACCGTATGTCATAGTAATAACAATTGTTGATTAGTTACAAGGCATGCATCAGACGCAGTTGATCCAAGAGGGAGACGATAATCCATGAGTATGTTTTTGTCACGTCTCCTCTTGAAGTTATTCACTAAGCAACAGTCCTGGATAGAACACGCCAATTCATATCCTCACAGAAAGGGGAGCTGTAGTTGGTTTTGTTGGATTTTCTATTAGTCTGAGCTGGTGTCCATACTCCCTGTGGTTAATCACCATAAATAGCACTCCGCATGTAGCTCTCCTAGAGTTACTGACGAGCCAAAGCCCAGGTAAAGAAGAAGGATTGGGAATAGGGTTTGCGACCCCATCCCGTATAGAGTGCTTTTATGAACTATTGAATAGACCAGCTTCATTGAATCGACCGAACATTGAAGCAACACACACAGACCTTCTTATAGATGTCAATCCACCAACAACCGAAGAAATTAGGATGGCCATCAGACAAATCAAGAGCGCGAAAGCAGCAGGACCCGAAAATATACCAGCTGAAGCATTGAAGTCGGACGTCGAAGTAACTACAAACATACTTCATCTTTTATTCAAGAAGATTTGTGAGGAGGAAAAAGTGGCGATGGACTGGAAAGAAGGACAACTCATCAAGATTGCAAGGAAAGATCTGAGCAAATGTGAAAACTAAACTACAGAGGCATTACACTACTGTCAGTACCACGAAAAGTTTACAACAGATTGTTGATTAACTGGATGAGAGATTCAGTAGATTCTCAGCTATGAGATCAACAGACTGGATTCCTTAAGGATCGGTCGTCTACAAACCAAACTGTAACACTACGGATCATTGTTGAACAGTCAGTTGAGTGAAAGTGGTCACTATACATCAACTTCCTTGACTATGAGAAGGCGTTTGACAGTGTGGACAAGCGAATCTTATAGAAACTTCTTCGACACTATGGTATACCTGAGATCGTCAACACCACGCAGGACTCATACGACGGACTACAGTGCAAAGTAGTGCACGGAAGACAGCCGACAGACCAGTTCCAAGTGAGGACCGGAGTCGGACAAGTCTGCTTACTCTCTCGCTTCCTCTTTCTACTGTTGGTTGACTGAATTATGAAGACCTCGACATCTGAGGGAAAATACGGCATACAATAGACAGCTCAGAATCAATTAGACGATTTGGACTTCGCAGATGACCTGGCCCTTCTATCGCATACACATGAACAAATGCAGATAACGACAGCCAGTGTAGCAGCAGCGTCCGCATCAGTAGGCCTCGACATACGTAAAGAAAAAGGTAACATCCCCAGATAAAACACGGAGAACGTCAACACAACCACACTTGATGGAGAAACT